ATTTCGGGAGTTGTGAAATTCCAGGCCACTTGCTAAGGGTTCAATTCCCACCCGTTCCATGGCTTACTAGATGATGAGTTACAACTTTTGCATGACATGATGATGAGTAATATTGCGCTTAATGTTAAACATGCCTTTATTAATATTTAAAGAGAGAGAGAGAATACAGTGGACCCCCGCTTAACGATCACCTCCAAACGCGACCAATTATGTAAGTGTATTTATGTAAGTGCGCTTGTACGTGTATGTTTGGGGGTCTGAAATGGACTAATCTACTTCACAATATTCCTTATGGGAAAAAATTCGGTCAGTACTGGCACCTGAACATACTACTGGAATGAAAAAAGTTCGTTAACCGGGGGTCCACTGTACTTCTAGTAATGTTGTATATGTGGGAGAACTCTTTTTAAAAACATCTAAGTACAGCCTCTCCTCACTTAACGACGGAGTTGCGTTCCTAAGACCAAGACAGCAAACGAATTTGTCAATAAATAAGGAGCATACTATAATGGTAGTGGGTTTGTGTCAACCATCTGATATTATTTTAATTTCACCTTTTCACCATTTATAATATTTTTAGTATAGTTTTAAATGTTTATACAGTAGTGTACTGTATATTGTAATAAACTGAGTAGAGGAAATCAGCTCTAATATACATTATTTAGGTATGCATACCGGTCAGAGAGCCAGTCCTAAGTCTGAGTCGTCGGTAAACGAGTACGTCACTCAGACTTATGACCAGCGCTCTGACCAGTGGACTGTATGTGTATTTTACTTTTTTATTGTTTTTTAATGCCTAGTTCTATTTTTAATTTTCTAAAAATATAAAGGTGCTAGGTAACATTAAAACAGTATCTGTAGATGACTGACACAAACCCACTACCAGTACAGTATGCTTGAAATATCAGTAAGGGGCTGCTCCTTGGTTTAACAACCAGTTTGCTTGCAGTCTCTCTCTTAATGGAACTCACCTGTTAAGTGAGGAGTACCAGTATACAGTGTAAACCCAAGTTTACTAGATTTCTAATGTAGCTGTATTCTGCTACATAGAGGTAAATCGATCAGATTGATTTTTGCAGATTTATGGCAAAAAAAAACAAAAAACGAAATTTCACTGTTTATTTATCAGAAAGCACCCTTGCCGAATTCCAATCCGCTACTTGCCCCTATAAGTACTGTGCCTTAAATCTAGAGGTTATCGTTTGCATTAAGACCTGAGTATACGGTTAGTCCTCGACTTGAGAACATATTAGGAACCTCTTGAATTTGTATAATATAATACAGGAAGTCTTCAACTTAGAACATGTTGGGGACCTGTATTTTGTATAATAATGATATATGCAATAATGATATAATAATGATATAATGCAGAAGATTCTCAATGTGTTTGTAAGTCAAGGGCTAGTTGTATAAAAGAGATAGACTATATTGTATATATTTTGCAGGTTCCCGAATCTTGGGTCAATCCTTCAGGGAAGTACCACATTGGTGTGAAGAGTGCATACGCACTTTACCCTCAACGATTACGCGAGAGAGTTGCTAGGGAGAGAAAAGAAAAAAATTGGGATCCGATCCACAAAGAGTTGTTAGCAGAAGCTCAGCGGAAAGTACAGGTAGGGCCACTCCTATGAATTTCTCTTCTCTTCTGATACATGCTTTTGTCTCCTGTTTATCCATTTGGAATCTTTTATTTTTGTTTTTTTGTATGTTTTCTTTAACACTTCGGCTGTTTCCCACCAAGGCAGGGTGACCCAAAAAGAAAGAAAAAAAAAACTTTCGTCATTCAACACTTTCACCATCACTCATACATAATCACTGTCTTTGCAGAGGCGCTCAGATATGACAGCTTAGATGTACCTGGAAAATGCCAATATCCCAAACCCCTCCTGTAAAGTGCAAGCATTGTACTTCCCATTTCCAGGACTTAAGTCAGGCTAAGTGGTTTCCCTGAATCTCTTCACAAAATATTACCCTGCTCACATTCCAACAGCTTGTCAGGTCCCTAAAAACCATTCGTCTCCATTCACTTCTATGTAACGTGCTCATGCACGCTTGTGGAAGTCCAAGCCCCTCGCCCACAAAACCTCCTTTATCCCTTCCCTCCAACCATTTTGGGGATAACCCCTACCCCGCCTTCCTTCCCCTACAGATTTATACGTTCTCCATGTCATTCTACTCTGATCCATTCTCTCTAAATGACCAAACCACCTCAACAACCCCTCTTCAGCCCTCTGACTAATACTTTTATTAACTCCACACCTTCTTCTAATTTCCACACTACGAATTCTCTGCATAATATTTACACCACACATTGCCCTTAGACAGGACATCTCCACTGCCTCCAGCCGCCTCCTCACTGCAACGTTTACAACCCAAGCTTCACACCCATATAAGAGTGTTGGTACCACTATACTCTTGTACATTCCCTTCTTTGCTTACATGGATATTTTTTTTTTGTCTCCACAGATACCTCAATGCTCCACTCGCCTTTTTTCCTTCGTCAGTTCTATGGTTAACCTCTTCCTTCACAAACCCATCTGTTTACACTTATTTAATGCAGCAAGCTCTCTGTAACGCTCCTCTATATTTCAATATTTCTTTGTAAATGTATTTAGAAAAAGTACAATCAGAATTAAATAGTGTATTGAAATGTCTTTATTGTTGATGAACTTTGCCGTTTTGGATGCTCTTTCTCAGTCATGTTTAAGAACTTAAGAATATAAGAAGGAAGGAGCATTGCAGCAGGCCTACTGGTCCATGCCAAGCGGGTTCAAGTCACGCCCACCCACACTCACTCGTGTATTTATCTAAGCTATTTTTAAAGCTACAGTGACACTACTCTGAAGTTTGTTCCACTCGTCCACAACTCTGTTACCAAACCAGTGCTTTACTATATCCATTCTAAATGTAAATTTTTCCAAATTGAAAAGTACACCTTACGAGGAGCTTTAAAGACAGCTGATGATGTTTCAGTCTGACTTTGACCACTTACAAGTCCAAAGTAGAACCAAAACATCATCGTAAGATTCTTGTGTGCAGGGTGTGTATTGTTCCAGTCACAGTATTGTGCTTTTTGTTTTGTTCTTTTAAGAGAGCTGACTATAACATAATGTTGAATATAAAAAGGGTATACAATACCAACAGGTTGATAAGTAAGGCACATGTACAACAGTTGGGTATCTTTATTCTGACATGTTTTGCTTACACAGTAGGCTTCTTCAGTCAAGTACTGAAGAGTTAGCAGAAGCAGTAGAGATGTAAAGACGATGTAATCAGTCCCTCACCCTTGAAGACGTAGTTTTGAGGTGGTCAGTCCCTCAGCCTGGAGAAGTGTTCTTGCTCCATAGTCTGGAACAATGTTCCAAGACTGTGTTCCAGACTGTGGAGCAAAACTCTTCTAAAGGGTGAGGGACTGACCACCTCAAAACTACTTTTTCAAGAGCGATGGACAGATTGTGTCTTCGTCGCATCCCTACTGCTTCTCCTAACTCCTCTTTACTTGGCTGAAGATGCCTGCCATGTAGGCAAAATATTTCTGAATAAAAATACCAAACTGCACACATGTCTTAGTAATATAATGTTTATTAAATACAAATTTTTGCTCTGTGCAGGTGTTACTATTTCCTCTCTCTCTCTCTCTCTCTCATTTCAGTCCATAGAAAGTAGCAAGAGCAGCAGTAGTAGTAGCGGCAGCACAAACGGCAATGGTAGTAGTAGTAGTAATTTATTTGAGAAGCTAACGAAGGAGGACGCGGAGAGTAGGGTTGCACAGCTCAACACACTCGAGAAGAAATACAATGACCTGGGACCAGCCTATGATTGTGTTGTCTATCATGATGGAGAGGTTTGGAGGTGAGTGTTATCGTGACTCATGAAATTGTAATGACACGATTGCAAGCAAACCATGTATGATTTGTGAGTGTTGTTGTCTGTCATGGAGGGGTGTGGAGGTGAGTGTTGTTAGCACCTGTCAATGTGTTGCCGATCTTTGTTCCATGAACATGTAAGATGACTGGTAAATATTGCAAAAATCTACTTAAAGTTAGTAGCTACTGTAGGGCCTTGCTTATACAGCAGGTTAGGTTCTGGGCTACTGTAGGGCCTTGCTTATGCAGCAGGTTAGGTTCTGGGCTACTGTAGGGCCTTGCTTATACAGTAGGTTAGGTTCTGGGCTACTGTAGGGCCTTGCTTATACAGCAGGTTAGGTTCTGGGCTACTGTAGGGCCTTGCTTATACAGCAGGTTTCAGGCTACTGTAGGGCCTTGCTTATACAGCAGGTTCCAGGCTACTGTAGGGCCTTACTTATACAGCAGGTTCCAGGCTACTGTAGGGCCTTGCTTATACAGTAGGTTCCAGGCTACTGTAGGGCCTTGCTTATACAGTAGGTTCCAGGCTACTATAGGCCCTTGCTTATACAGCAGGTTCCAGGCTACTGTAGGCCCTTGCTTATACAGCAGGTTCCAGGCTACTGTAGACCCTTGCTTATACAGCAGGTTCCAGGCTACTGTAGGCCCTTGCTTATACAGCAGGTTCCAGGCTACTGTAGGCCCTTGCTTATACAGCAGGTTCCAGGCTACTGTAGGGCCTTACTTAGCAGGTTCCAGGCTACTGTAGGGCCTTGCTTATACAGCAGGTTCCAGGCTACTGTAGGGCCTTGCTTATACAGCAGGTTCCAGGCTACTGTAGGGCCTCAGTTATACAGCAGGTTAGGTTCCAGGCTACTGTAGGGCCTCACTTATACAGCAGGTTAGGTTCCAGACGACTGTAGGGCCTCACTTATACAGCAGGTTAGGTTCCAGACTACTGAAGGGCCTCACTTATACAGCAGGTTAGGTTCCAGGCTACTGTAGAACCTCACTTATACAGCAGGTTAGGTTCTAGGCTACTGTAGGGCCTCACTTATACAGCAGGTTAGGTTCCAGACTACTGTAGGGCCTCAATTATACAGCTGGTTAGGTTCCAGACTACTGTAGAGCCTCACTTATACAGCAGGTTAGGTTCCAGGCTACTGTAGAACCTCACTTATACAGCAGGTTAAGTTCCAGGCTACTGTAGAACCTCACTTATACAGCAGGTTAGGTTCCAGGCTACTGCAGAACCTCACTTATACATCAGGTTAGGTTCCAGGCTACTGTAGAACCTCACTTTTACAGCAGGTTAGGTTCCAGGCTACTGTAGAACCTCACTTATACAGCAGGTTAGGTTCCAGGCTACTGTAGAACCTCACTTATACAGCAGGTTAGGTTCCAGGCTACTGTAGAACCTCACTTATACAGCAGGTTAGGTTCCAGGCTGCTGTAGAACCTCACTTATACAGCAGGTTAGGTTCCAGGCTACTGTAGAACCTCACTTATACAGCAGGTTAGGTTCCAGGCTACTGTAGAACCTCACTTACACAGCAGGTTAGGTTCCAGGCTACTGTAGAACCTCACTTATACAGCAGGTTAGGTTCCAGGCTACTGTAGAACCTCACTTACACAGCAGGTTAGGTTCCAGGCTACTGTAGAACCTCACTTATACAGCAGGTTCTATATAGTGAAAGTTTTTTTTTTTCTTTCAAATGCATGTAAAAGCCTGACAACATGTTTATACTATCATGTATTAAGTGAACAATAGAGCTAGACCTAAAAAAATGCATATACAGTACACACATTACTTCTTTGAATGCACTGTCCATATCCCACCGAGACAGGACGGCCCAAAAATGAAAGTTTCTCTTTTTAACTTTAGTAATGTATACAGAAGGAGTTACTAGCCCCTTGCTCCCGTCATTTTAGTCGCCTCTTACGACATGCATGGCTTATGAAGGAAGAATTCTGTTCCACTTCCCCATGGAGATAAGAGGAAATAAACAAGAACTAGTAAGAAAATGGAAGAAAACCCAGAGGGGTGTGTATATATATGCTTGTACATGTATGTGTAGTGTGACCTAAGTGTAAGTAGAAGTAGCAAGACGTACCTGAAATCTTGCATGTTTATGAGACAGAAAAAAGATACCAGCAATCCCTCCATTATGTAAAACAATTACAGGCTTTTGTTTTACACTCGCTTGGCAGGACGGCAGTAACTCCCTGGGTGGTTGCTGTCTACCAACCTACTACCTAGGTATTATTATTATTATTCTTTCTTTCAACACACCAGCCGTTTCCCACCGAGGCAGGGTGGCCCAAAAGGAAAAACAAAAGTTTCTCCTTTTACATTTAGTAATATATACAGGAGAAGAGGTTACTACCCCCTTACTCCCGGTATTTTAGTCGCCTCTTAAAACACGCATGGCTTACGGAGGAAGAATTCTGTTCCACTTCCCCATGGAGCAAGAGGAAATAAACAAGAACAAGAACTAGAAAGAAAATAGAAAACCCAGACGGGTGTGTATATATATGCTTGTTCAACACACATGCGGTATCCCACCGAGGCGGGGCGGCCTAAAAGGAAAAACGAAAGTTTTATTATTATTATGTCTTTCACCACTTAATATATTTGTTGCAGGGCTTGTATCGACACTTCAGAGTGTGGGGAGCTGGAGTCTGGCGTCCACTTGGGAGAATACAGAGTCACTCACCAGTGGGCGTCCCTCACCGCTGCCGACCAGTACAACATTTCCGTCAATGTGCATAATAATGGGAATATACTGGAAATCGTTGGCATGTGCTGTAAGTTATGCGGCATCTTTGGTGTTTATCATGCTGATGTTTTGATGGTTCAGTTAAGCACATCTTGATGTGTGTTATGCATGTGAATAAGCAACATACAAGTGCTACTCAACTCAGGATGGTTCGACTTAAAATATTTCAACTCTATGATGCTGCAGAAACAATTACTGTATTTTGCGGCTTATTACTCATTTGTTTTCCCCCATAAAATGTCTCCAAAAACCACCCTGCATCCTATAAACTGAAGGTCAGTGATGGGAGCTGTAAGTTTGGGGTGTGGGGTGGGCTGTAGCTTCTCATTTACGTCCGATGCCGAGCCATTGAACTAAAATAAGTCTTATAAGCCATAAAATACGGTACTCTGGAGGTGAAACTTAAGATAATTACCCAACATGAAGGAAACAAGTCCCTAACTTGTATTCATTTATTGACTGGTATTTAGTTACAGTAATTATTGGTTTATTTACCTATTCCTCAGTCCAGAGGGCTGAGGAAGGGTTGTTGAGGTGGTTCGGACATGTAGAGATAATGGAGCGAAACAGAGTGACTTCAAGAGTGTATCAGTCTGTAGTGGAAGGAAGGCGGGGTAGGGGTCGGCCTAGGAAAGGTTGGAGGGAGGGGGTAAAGGAGGTTTTGTGTGCGAGGGGCTTGGACTTCCAGCAGGCATGCGTGAGCATGTTTGATAGGAGTGAATGGAGACAAATGGTTTTTAATACTTGACGTGCTGTTGGAGTGTGAGCAAAGTAACATTTATGAAGGGATTCAGGGAAACCGGCAGGCCGGACTTGAGTCCTGGAGATGGGAAGTACAGTGCCTGCACTCTGAAGGAGGGGTGTTAATGTTGCAGTTTAAAAACTGTAGTGTAAAGCACCCTTCTGGCAAGACAGTGATGGAGTGAATGATGGTGAAAGTTTTTCTTTTTCGGGCCACCCTGCCTTGGTGGGTCACCCTGCCTTGGTGGCCACCCTACCTTGGCGGTCCACCCTGCCTTGGTGGATCACCCTGCCTTGGTGGTCCACCCTGCCTTTGCGGCCACCCTACCTTGGTGGGTCACCCTGCCTTGGTGGCCACCCTACCTTGGCGGTCCACCCTGCCTTGGTGGATCACCCTGCCTTGGTGGTCCACCTGCCTTTTGCGGCCCCCCCCTACCTTGGTGGGTCACCCTGCCCTTTGGGGGGGTCCACCCCGCCTTGGTGGTCCCCCCTGCCCTTGGTGGACACACCCTGCCTTTGGGGGTCCACCCTGCCTTGGTGGACCACCCTGCCTTGGTGGTCCACCCTGCCTTGGTGGACCACCCTGCCTTGGTGGCCACCCTGCCTTGGTGGACCACCCTGCCTTGGTGGGAATAGGCCAGTGTGATAATAAAAAAAAATAAAAATAATAAATAATTACCTATTCAGAGACAATAGTTATTTAGCATATACAGTGGTACCTCGTGTTACGAAATTAATTCATTCCAGACGGCTGTTCGAGTGCCGATACCGAACAAATTTGTTCCCATAAGGAATAATGTAAATTAGATTAGTCCATTTCAGAACCCCAAAAATACACTTACAAAAGCACTTACAAAAATACACTTACATAATTATTTGAGTTGGGAGCTGATCAAAACTTGAGGTACCACTGTATTCACATTCTTTCTTCTTTCAACACACTGGCCGTAAGTTGAGGAGTACCTATACATTTTAATAGACTTAAATATATGTTTATATAGATTTAAATATATGTTTATGTAGATTTAAATTTATTTTTATAGACATGGCTGGGTTTTCAGCTTATTTGAGGCGGGTTGTATAGAAGCGGTTTTAAGCGTTTTTGGGGCCTCCTACTTTGGTGGGAGACTGCCAGTGCGTTAAAAATTCAGTACATTTATTTTTTAACATGGCGCTCTCCCCCCCTAGG